AGCCTGACTATATAAAACCTGATTACCCTGACCTTTATATTAATAAGATTAAAGAGGCAAAATCTGACTTTAGAGATAAGTCCTCTGGCCCTAATAAGAAATTTGTAAAGTTAGAAAACAAGATGCCTTAAGTAAAATCATAGCCTTAGACTATTATAAGAGCGTACTTATTAGGCTTAACTAGCTTGTTAAAGGGCTATTTCTTATTATAGTATTTAATCTTAAGAATATAAATAATAAGGTTCTTTATCTTTATGCTTTAGTAAATAATAAAGCTAACATATATATTCTAATTAATAAGAAAATTACTTAGGCTATTTTTTAATAGCTTAATATCTCTTTTGTTCCTTTAAAAAGAGCTATTCTATTAGTTAGATTTAATAGTTAGCCTAATAAGCTAATTAATTATCTACTTTTTATTATAGCCTAGATCTATAACTATACTCTTACTAATATTCTGTTCTTAGTTACTAACCTTAGCTCTTATAATATTATTCTAGGCTATAAATAACTAGCTAAGTATAATATCCTATTAGATTATAAAAGAAATAAGATATACTAACTAGAAGACTACTAAGTATAGGAATAATCGACTAATTAGATTATAAAAGAAATAAGAAGAGGACTACTAAGTACAGAGGAATAATATAATACTTATAAAGATAGATTATTTAAAAAGAATATTTAATATTATAACCCTAAAGTTAGCTCTAATAATGCTAATAAGGCTAGGACTTAGTTTCAGAAATCTATATAAGAATAGTATTAATATTATTAATATTATAAAGCAAAGCTTAAGTTGCCTTTTTTTAATAAAGCTAATAAGAGCCTTAGTCCTAACTCTGATCTAGATAAAGCTAATACTAATAATAGAATAATCTTTATAAATCTTATAAGTATTATAGCCTTTTATATTAATAATAAATAGGATAGTATAATATTAGGGATAGTTACGTTAGATAGTATTAATTATAAGTTATAGAAATAAGGCCGCCTTGTTTTATACCAAATTAGTTAAGTTTAAATAACTAATAATAATAAATAGGATGCTTTTAATAACTTTAGACCTTGTTTTAATAATCTTAAGTCTATCCTTAGCTATCTTTTTCTGTATCTTTATAACTAAGTAGCCGCCTTTTTAAGAGTAGTTATAAATACTCTATCTTAGTACTATTCGTTTGACTATAAGCTGCACTTTAATAAGGAACTAGAGATAAAGGTATTATATTTATATAAGATGTTAACTTAAGAGCTTATAATTATAAGAGAGTATCTAATAGAAAACTTATGTAAAGAATTTATTTATCTATTATCTTCCTCTTTCTTATTACTTATTTTATTTATTAAGAAGAAGAATAGAGACCTTAGATTCTGTATTAATTATAGAAGTCTAAATAAACTTATAAAGAAAGATAAATATTCTTTATCTTTAATCTTAAAGACTTTATTATAATTAGCTTATATAATAATTTTTATAAGCTTAATATCTATTATATATTTAATTATATTAGAATAGACCCTAACTTAATCTATTAAGTATTATTTTAAACAACTTATAAAGCTTTTAAGTTAGTAGTTTTTTTCTTTAGTCTTTATAATAGTCCTATTATCTTTTAATATTATATTAATTTTGTCTTTATAAATTATCTTAGTGTCTTTTATATAATATATATTAATAATATTCTAATCTTCTTAAAGAATAAGAAAAAGCACTAATAATATATATATTAAATTATAATAAGGCTAACGTGGTTTATAAGCGACCTGCGTATACAAGCGACCTGTGTACTTTTCTTCTATCTTACAACTTTATAATAATTTTACACAGCCATAATATAAAAAAATTAATTATTTTTTATATATTTCTT